CACCATGGTTGGAACCAAATGTCTCAAATTTGGACTCATCAGACCAAAGCCCAGATTTCCACTGATCTAATGTCCATTCTTTGTGTTCTTTAGCCCAAGCAAGTCTCTTCTGCTTGTTGCCTGTCCTTAGCAGTGGTTTCCTAGCAGCTATTTTACCATAAAGGCCTGACTCACACAGTCTCCTCTTAACAGTTGTTTTAGAGACGTATCTGCTGCTAGAGCTCTGTGTGGCAATGACCTGGTCTCTAATCTGAGCTGCTGTTAACGTGTGATTTCTGAGGCTGGAGACTGGGATGAACTTATCCTCCACAGCAGAGGTGACTCTCTGTCTTCCTTTCATGGGGCGGCCCTCATGTGAGCCAGTTTCTTTGTAGCACTTGATGGTTTTTGCGACTGCACTTGGGGACACTTTCAAAGTGTTGCAAATTTTAGACTTAGACCCAGACAGAGTTTATTTTGTCATTTTGTACATACAAGTGTTAAAAAAAAATAAAAATTTGTGAAGTACAGCTCTGTAGACTATTTCATTTTTTAAAGTGCAGTCTTGAAAAGGTAAGCACCAGTGATTACAATATTGTATGAAAAAAAAAAAGAGATGTAAACATATGACTGTATAGTCTGTCTATCTGTCTGTCAGTCTAATGGCGGTGGGGAAGAAACTGTTCTGGAATCTGCTGGACCTGCATCCAATGCTTCGAAGTCTCTTCCCAGCAGGGAGAACAGTCCATGGTGGGGGTGTGAGGGGTCATTTATAATCTTGCAGGGTCAGGACACACAGCGCTGGAATGAAATGTCTTTAATGGAGGGAAGAGGAGCCCCGATGATCCTCTCTGCTGTCAGAACGCTCTCTATGGTGCTTCTGTAGAAGGTGGTGAGGATGTGTGGGAGCAGGTGGGCTCTCCTCTTCATCCCCAGGAAGTCCAAGCGCTTTTGTGCCTTTTTGTTCAGTGAGGTGGTGTTTACATTCCAGGTGAGGGTGTCTGTAATGTGCACCCCCCGGAACTGGGTGCTGCTGAGCTGTTGATGAGCAGTGGAGCGTGGTTAGGACGGTTCTTCCTGAAGTCCAAGATGATCTCCTTCATCTTCTCCACGTTCAGGATTAGGCTGTTATCTTTGCACCAGTCCACCAGCTGCCCCATCTCCTCTCTGTAGTCCAGGTCGTTGTCATCTCTGATGAGACCCACCTCCATGGTGTCGTCTGCAAACTTTACGATGTTATTGGTGGTGAACCTGGGGACGCAGTCATGTTTCATCAGGGTGAACAGCAGGGGGCTCAGGACACAGCCCTGAGGGGATCCTGTGCTTAGACTGATGACATCAGAGGTGTTCGGTCCAACCCGGACTGACTGAGGTCTGTTGGTGAGGAAGTCTAGCAGCCAATTGTGTTGAATCTCAGCTGTTTCAGTTTGCCCATCAGATGCTGTGGGACAATGGTGTTGAAAGCTGAACTGAAGTCCAGGAACAGCATCCATACATGAGTGTTCTTCTCCTCCGGGTGTGCTAAGTTCAGGTGAAGAGCGGAGGAGATGGCCTCCTCATTGGAGCGGTTCCAATGGTAGGCAAACTGGAGTGGGACGAATGTTGACAGCAGACTGGAGACGATGTGTTCTTTAACCAGCCTTTCAAAGCATTTCATCATGATTGGAGTCAGTGCTACGGGACAGTAATCATTGAGTGAGGTGACCCGAGACTTCTTTGGGACCGAAATGATTGCGGCAGACCTGAAGCATGCTGGCACTGCGGGTCGGTCCAGTCAGGTGTTAAAAAGACAAATTTAGACAAATTTTTTGTACTTTCTGACCTTCATGTCTTAAAGTAATGATGGCTGCTCGTTTTTCTTTACTGAGCTGCTTTTTTGTTGCCAAACTACAATTTCTAACAGCCTATTCAGTGGGACTATCAGCTGTGCATCCATCTGACTCTCCACAACACAACTGATGGTCCCAGCCCCATTTATAAGGCAAGAAATCCCACCTATTAAACCTGACAGGGGACTCCGTAAAGTAAAAAAAAAAAAAAAGATCCACTGGACGTGGTTTCCAAGATTTGAAGACGTTTCGCCACCTCTCCAGGAAGCTTTCTCAATTCAAATGTCTGGATCCGCAGTGAGTTTGAGTCTTTATATAGACAATGCCTTGTATTGCTTGGAAACATGCAAATAGAAACCGATGAGTGGGTCGTTTGCTTCCATTGTTAGCCTGTAATATCTGAAACCTGTCTATGATTCTGAAGGTCGGTCATTAAAGGGTGAGGATTGTTGTTAAAGGGGGGGGGGGGACTGTCTCCTTCAAGCAAAACAAAACCCTTAAACAGAGGCTAGTGCATCCTAGAGATAAAACCCCCAGACCGAATATGAGCGTAGTGGTATATGCTGTTCAGTGCAGCGAGGAATGCTCTGATCTTTATATTGGAGAAACCAAACAACCTCTCCACAGAGGCATGGCCCAACACAGAAGAGCGGCCTCCTCTGGCTAAGACTCCGCAGTACATCTACACCTTGTGGACAAAGGACATTCTTTTGAGGACCAGAATGTTCACATTCTGGATAAAGAAAATAGGTGGTTTGAGAGGGGTGTGAAGGAAGCCATCTATGTTAAGAGAGAAAAAACAACTTTAAACAGAGGTGGTGGACTCAGATTCCAGCTTCCAAAAACTTACAACTCAGTCACAGAGAGGATCCCTTCCAGATATCACCACAACCCCCACCCCATCACAGAGGAA